TCTTCAGCAGGCAATTTAGTGCAGAAAAGGCTCATAAGGACATAAGAGAAGCCAATGTTGGATCAGGCCAGCGGCCCACCCAGTCCAACGCTTTGTGTCACACAGTGGCCAAACCCCAGGTGCCATCAGGAGGTCCACCAGCGGGGACAGAACTCCAGAGATCATCCCACTCTTCCCCCCCCCCCCAAAGCACCAAGACAGCAGGACATCACTGGCCCCGGACCGAGAGTTCCTGTCTATATCTTGTGGCTAATAGCCACTGAAGGACCTCTGCTCCATACGTTTATCCAATCCCCTCTTGAAGCTGTCCGTGCTTGTAGCCGCCACCACTTCCCGTGGCAGAGAATTCCATGGGTTAATCGCTCCTTTGGGTGAAAAAGTACTACGGAAAGTACAATCATCGCTCTTACCTCCAAAGTGTGGCCAGAAGATCTGTGTCTCCCAGACTATCCCCACAGCAACGACAGAAAGCTGGCCCAGTGGTCCCCTGGTCCAGCTTCAGTGTGACTCATGCAGACATCGCCCTCCCAAGAGGAAGTGATGGGGGGAAGGAGGAGGAGGAGATTGGATTTATTCCCCACCCTTCACTCAAGAGTCTCAGAGCGGCTTACAAACTCCTTTCCCTTCCCGTCCCCACTACAGACACCCCGTGAGGGAGGCGGGGCTGAGAGAGCTCCGACAGAAACTGCTCTTTTTCAAGGACAGCTCTGACAGAACTATGGCTTGCCCAAGGTCATCCAGCAGGTGCAAGTGGAGGAGTGGGGAATCAAACCCGGTTCTCCCAGATTAGAGTCCACACACTTAACTAGGCTGCCTTGGTGCCCGCTGGCCTAGTATATGCGTGCCAGCTGCTCGGCTGGAGCGCATCCAGACTCAAGAACATGCACAATGTGGTTTTGTTTTTATTTTCTGCCTCAAACCATGCGGAACTAGGCGCTGTTGTGCAAACTGAGATTACACTCCTGGCCACTGCCGCTGGATTGGTGACACACACACACACACACACACACACACCGGGCAAGCAGTGAGCTATTCTAGTGAAGGGTAAGCGGCTTTAGAAGGTGAACATCGGAATCTGCTGAATAACACAGCTAATCCGCTCAGACGGCCCTTCAGCACACCTTTAAATCCTTCTGCAAACTTTAAAGCTTCTGCTAAGACTGCTTGAACCCTCACAATGCAGCAATGCATCATTCACTAATTGTGACAACCGATACATATATTCACATGCAGAAATGCTGGCTGAAAGCAAGAGCCCTTCAACAGTATCCGCTGCCTTTTAAGAGCAGGCCTTTTGCTTCAGCAGCCATTAAAGCTGATTACGCTCTTAACACTATAAAGCACTAAAAGGGACACCGTTACAGAACACAGAACTTTAAGTAGATGGGGGGCTCTCACACGGGAACAAGAGAGAGGTGGCGGCTTGCACTATTGGTCAAACAAAATGCTAGGAGGCAAGGATTCAAAATAGCTATCTGGATGTTTTGGCAAGCCTTACAGCAATTCAGACCAGGACAGAGGAGCAAAGATTTGTGGTTTTCAAACCACCTGACCTGCCTTTCAACCAACATATGATTTCAGATTCCTTGCCAAGGTAGAAAATTGTCCCAAACATGTGCGTGCTGCAGAAAGCACACAAGCAAATCTCCTTGAAATTCCCTCTCTTTGCAGACTTCCCAACCAAACGTGTTACAGTCTTGTGTGATAAACACAAATATCTTCCCTCACCTGTGCCATTTTGAACTCTTCAGAACAGTGAAGGGACCTAGCTGTCTGAATATTATCCTTTCCGCATACAATCAATTTGGCAAAATCGGTCACTAGCAGCAAGCCATCCACCAAAATCCACAGCGTATTTTGAGCCTGCCACTCACCACTTGTTATCCTTAGACGTTAATTCATCATTATCATATCTCTTCTTATATATAATTGAGTAGTGGGGTGGCACTTTCTGAACATTCCACACGCCCCTAAATCAGTTGGCTCCATGATGTGCCACTCAGAAGCTGTCCCTATCTACTGGCTGTGTTGCCGGAGTCCCGCCCACAGAGGCGGCACCCGCCAAAACTTTCCTCAGAAGATGGTTGCTTCACTCCGATGAACACAACTACTGTCTTTGCTCTCCTCGCCAGACAACAGGGCAACACTTTCCACCACAGGAAAAAAACCCACCAAGTAAACAGCTGTCAGCATAGCAGAGGGGGGGGGGGGGAAAGAACCAGCCCAAGTTATCACAAAAAAGTCAGCGGATACACACACAAGCAGAGATAGAGGATGAGACCAGACACACAGAAAACGAATCCAAAAACCCGAGGCATGCTGCAAAGCAGAAATACAGACAGTCACAGGCAGATCTATGTTTGCAGACTGCCCAGTTGTAGAAATTACTCCACAGAGCCGTATGCTGCATTTTCTGGCCCACATTGTGCGACCTTGGACACCAGTTATTGTGTAACATAAGGTATGTGAGACTTTATTTCCACATTTGTGCCTTTCTATTACATACTGCTAATATGTACTTAACCTGCTTCCAGCCAATGCATTCGTTACACATCACATCTTTCTAGAGCTCATTGTATTGCTTTTAAAACGAGCTTTACTGATAGTATAAATACATATAAAAAGAGCTGTGATAAACAACAGGCTGTCTAATCCACCACCATTTCTGACTAGTAGAGGCTCTCCAGGATCTCAAGGGAAATTTACTCCCAATCTTGCTATGAGGCTGAACTTGAGACCCTCTATATGCAAGATGCGTCTTCCACCAAGTTATCTGTTCTTCCTCTGTCCATTTTTAAGTCGCTTGGCTATCAAAAAACCCTTTCACCCACCTGACCTGGATAGCCCAGGCAAGCAAGATCTTGTCAGATCTCAGAAGCTAAGCGAGGTCGACTCTGGCAAGTACTTGGATGGGAAACCTCCTTGGAATACCAGCAGTCGGGAGGACGGGGGCAGGCTTCGTTCAGCCACCTCTCTGAATATCCTCCAGGCCCCCAAGCAGGGGTCAGTCACCATGATGTCCAGGTGCATGACTTCCAGGTTTCCATGACTACCAGGCGTATACACTCTCTCACACACATACACTCACCCCCCCACCAAAAAAAAGCCCTTTCACCCAAAGGCTACATCAGTTTGTGGAAAGCCACAGGTGGCATGCGACAGACTGTGTCTCCTAGTGAGAAGGACAGAACGACAAAAACACACAGTTCTATCATTCCTCACTGTGGTTCTCCACGTCCTTCATTTGACATGGCTATGTCCTGCCCCCATCTCCAAGGAACATCGAGAGGCTGTTTTGCTTCTCGCTGCCCCACTGAGGCAAACTAAAATGAGCGTGACTCATCCTGGGCACTCAGTAAATTGGGATTGGGCCAGTTTCTCAGTCTAAGTCTACATCACGGGGTGTCCAAAGGCTAAAAATCCCTGCTATGGTGAGCTCCATAGCTGTAACCTGAACCTAGTAAAGGTAAAGGTGTCCCTTGCTCGAAAGCCAGTCGAGTCCGACTCCAGGGTTGCGGTGCTCATCTCCGTTTCAAAGCCGAAGAGCCAGCGCTGTCCGAAGACGTTTCCGTGGTCATGTGGCCGGCATGACTAAACCCCAAGGCGCACGGAACGCTGTTACCTTCCCCCCCGAAGTGGTACCTATTTATCTACTTGCAATTTCTTGCTTTCGAACTGCTAGGTTGGCAGGAGCTGGAACCAGAGACGGGAGCTCACTCTGTCATGCGGCGCACCCGGGTCTTGAACTGCTGAACTACTGACCTTCCACAGCCTGCAGTTCAGCGTCTTAACCACTTGAGCCACCGCAGCTCCAACCTGAACCTAGACAAGTATTAAAATTTCAAGCATCCTTCACAGGTTTCGGCAGGTGGTTTATAAACTCTGTACCAAATTTGCTTTTGAGCCCAGAAACATAAGCTGCTGTCCAGAAATACAGGCTTCTGCTACAAGACAACTGTTAAAGAAAGCCAGCATGGTAAACTGGTTACTGTCAGACTAGGACCCTGGTTCAAATCCCAGCTCATCTATAAAGTTCCTTGGGTGACCTTGGGCCAGTCACTGACTCACTCACTCTGAGCCTAACCTACCTCACAAGGTTGTTGTGAGGATAAAACAGAGGAGGCGAGAACGCTGTAAATTGCTTTGGGTCCCCATTCAGGAGAAAAGCAGGATACAGCTAAACAAACAGTGCAATCCCTGCATTCTAGGCCTAGCAGGTTTTTAAACTCTACTTCCTTTTAGCTCTTCTCTCACTGTCAAGAACTCCAGCCAAAGACTGACTGTTAGTCTGAAAAAGGAGTTTTCCCTTATCATGAGAAGCTATCTCTTAAAGCTTTGTGTTACACATTAACCTTTGGATGAAGAAAAGAGATTGGATTTATACCCCGCCCTTCACTCGGAGTCTCAGAGCGGCTAACACTCTCCTTCCCCTCCCAGCAACAGACACCCTGTGAGGTAGGTGGGGCTGAGAGAACTCTTTCGAGAACTGCTCCTGAGAGAACAACTCTGACAGAGCTTGTGACTGACCTAGGGTCACCCAGCAGGCTTCATGTGAAGGAGTGGGGAATCAAACCCAGTTCTCCCAGATTAGAGTCCGCGCACTTAACCACTACACCAAATGGGCTCTCTAACTGGATATGGAGCGGCAGAATCTGGATGCAGGTTCTCTTTCGATGTGCCAGCCATCAGTTCAAACTTTGTTTGAAATCATCTTCTCTTAAGGGAGAACAAGCACTTAAACATGGCACATCCATGTTTCTGTACACACATGTCCCTTTCCTGGGTGCTCAGGACTCCAAGAGTGTGCTGAGCACCAAGCCAGGAAACTCCCTCCCTCCCCTTTAATTTCTTCCTTATTCGTGGGAGTTCCGGCTTACCACCTTTTCTATGACTGTTTCACAAACAAGTGCATGGTGGAAATGGTGCCTATAAGAGATCTTCACAGGAACTAATGGGGGGTGGGAAAGTGATTCCAACCAACTAAAGTGTCAGCTAACCCTCTCAAAATATAAAGGACACTGGTCTAAAAGTAATCTTTATTGCTTTCCTTTTGCAGTTGACAATAAGTTAAGAACAGTTTTTTTAGCAGTTACAGTGCAGTTTAACGACACCGCTCCTGTTCCACAGTTCACACGCTCTCAAAGGTTTAAGATTTAAAGCTTCTTATGCAGGGTGCTTTAAAATAAACACACAGCTCCTAGGGACCTTTAAATGCTTGCTACTAGAAAGGCTTTGGTCTGACTTCATTTCGAAAAGTCTCCTCACATCTTAAAGCCTATTCTAGCCAGAGGAGAGAGGCTTTTACTCTAAGGCAGTGCTGGCAAGACATGCAGCATAGAGATATACCAAGACAGAGTGATGGGGGGTGGCAGCATGGTGTCCCCTACTGGGAAATGGAATAAAACGAGAGCCCCTTCCGCTTGCGCAGAGCTCCCTGTTCAGTGATATCCCCACCACTTATGGACCACCCGATCCTCATGTTCCGTCATTAGGGTTCGATTGTCGCATTCTTCCCACCGCCTGACCTTTCCGTTCTCCACGACGATGAACTTCCACTCTACTCTGGTGTCTACGGGCAAGATGACGGAGTCCGACCAGAACCCGTCCTTTTCGCACCTGAGCGGCACGTAGTGGTGCCACTGGCCCAGACACTCGTGGTCTCCCGTGACGGCTATCAGCTGCGTTTCCGAGTAAGTGATGTAGTGCACGCGGAAAGTCAGGTGGACAGTCTGAGGCATTGGAGACACCGCTGCTACCCGCTTGGCTTGTTCCGGGTCCTTGCTGCCGCTGGCGTCCTCGACGCTGATGCTCCTGGTGGCGTCGCCCCACGCCGAATGCTCGGGGACAATTTCCCATTCTTCATGATCGAGGGAGTTGTGCTGCAGCTGTTCTCTACATTTCAACTCGGGCGTAGTGCTAGGGGCACCGGCTTCGGCGGAAGTGCCCGTCCCACGCGTTTCGGTTTTTT